CAGTGGTTGAGCATCAACTCATGAACCAGGAGGTCAGGGTTCGATTCCCGGTCAAGGGCACATACCTGGGTTGCAGGCTCCATCCCCTGTAGGGGGCGTGCAGGAGGCGGCCGATCCATGGTTCTCTCTCATCATTGATGTTTCTCTCTCCCTCTCCCTTCCTCTCTGAAATCAATTTTAAAAATATATTAAAAAAAAAATCGTGGGGCTCCTTCTGGCTGACAGGGGGGTCAGGACGGGGGCTGTTCCGCGTCCGGGAGCCGCAATAACGCTGCTGATTTGCACTCACACAGCTCGGTCCTCCCAGGGCCCTCCTAGCGTTTCTCAGACCAGTAAGTATGCGTCCAGCTCGTAAGTACATCCCCTCGCCTCAGGCCGGGAAATCGAGGTCCTCTCTATGCCCAACCAGAACCGGACCCGCCCCGTGGTGCAGGGGCCTTCGCCTGGGCTCCCATCTCACAGCCCGACCCTCTCAAACCCACCCACCCTCCGTCCCCATGGCCAGAACATGGCAAGGACCCGGGTCCTCGGGGGGCCCAGGCGGGTGCGGTCCAACGGGCACAGCCAGACAGAGACGTGGACCGGCCTCAGGGGCTGCCAGAAAGACCCAGGATTGGGTTTCCAGGCCAACAAAGCGGCTGCAGCGTCGCCCAGAAAGTACAGATGCCTCATTGTAAGGATTCCTTCCCAAAGATTTTTAAATTGAGTTTTTAGAGAGAGAGAGAAGAAGGGAGAGAGAGAGAGAGAAACATCCATGTGAGAGCAAAACGGCCATCGGCTGCCTCCTGCACGCCCCCCAGTGGGGATGGAGCCCACAACCCGGGCCTGTGCCCTGAGCGGGAATCGAGCCCTGACCTCCTGGTTCACAGGTTGACGCTCAACCACGGAGCCACGCCGGCCGGGCACCGCTATGTCATCCGTTGCCAGGCGGCCCCTCCGGCTCAGCCCGCTCCCCAGCCGCAGGGCGAGGGCCTCAGACCCTGCCCCTGTGATCAGCAGGCTACGCAGCAAGCCGTTCCTTCCCCGAACCACCCCACAGCGATTGGCGAGAAACCGAGTTTCTGGTTGGGCATAGTTTCCTGCGCTCAGTCCTCCAGCTGCCAGACGCGGAGGGTGCTCTCTGACACCCCTGATGCTCTGTGTTATGTCATCGCTTCGGGGATCAGGGGGTCGGGCGGTGACACCATGGAGCCTCCCCACCCCCAGTGCATCGTGAGCATAAATGATGGGCGATTCCATTTAAATTTCCTTTAACACGGACGGTGAATGATGAATGGGCTGATCGGCTGTTTCCCCCTGTGATTTATAAATCAGATTCAGTCATAATTCATAAATGAACGCTTTGTTTTCCCCCATAAAATCTGCTCCCGACTCTAACCTTCTACCACCCGGGAATCTCCCCATAGAAGACTGGTCCGCAGCCCAAGTCTAGATGGATAGAACGGGGGTGGGGGTGGGGGTGAGGGTCTGTGGGGTGAGGGCGTGTTTCGGAGGCTCAGAAGTCCCCGAGTTCTCGGGCCAGAGGGACAGGTGGGCCAGTGGCGGCTACAAGAGCCAGGAAGGGTTTCATGGTGTGGAGGGCAAAGGGGAGGGGCTTGGAGGAGGAAGAGGGAGAGAGGCCCGGCCGGTGTGGCTCAGTGGTTGAGCATCGACCTATGAACCAGGAGGTCACGGTTCGATTCCCGCTCAGGGCATGTGCCCGGGTTTCGGGCTCGATCCCCAGTGTGGGGTGTGCAGGAGGCAGCCGGTCCATGATTCTCTCTCATCACGGATGTTTCTCTCTCCCTCTCCCTTCCTCTCTGAAAATCACTAACAATATATTTTTAAAAAATAAAAGAGGGGGAGGAGGAGGTGGAGGACATCCGCGTGACTGAGGACATGGTTAACTTTATCGAGCAAGACCGGCCTGGTGACGCCCTGGGCTCCGGGGAAGTCACTGCCGAGCGAGGCCGGGTGTCCCCGGGGCCAGGTCCGGGCCACGGGCTGGAAAGGGGCAGCGGGTGGCCAAGTTCAATGTGTTTTCAGCCAAAACAGTGCGAGGGAGCTGGGTTTCCGAGGATTTCCCCGGGAATGGGCTGGACTGGAGTGGACAGGAGTCAGATCGGATGGGCATGGACCTCCCATCGCTAATAGCCTGGCGTTAGG